GGGAAGGGGGCGCTGAGATCGAAAACTTGGATTTTACATCTCTGTCATATCCTATACAAGAAAATAAAAAGAAACCTACTCCCATTCAATGCAACTTATGATGTACAATGTTACTGGGCTATTCCACCTTGGAAAAGCCCTGTATAGGCCCAATGGCATAGAAGAGAGACCCCCCAAAAAAATTAAGAATTAAAAAAAATGAAACATTTCGGGTTAGTACATGATCTTTTAAGGAGCACCATGGGTCGGATGAATGAGTGCTTGCTAGCCAATGAATTGCTACAACCACAGCCACATGCTTTAAATGAAAATATAATTTTAATAATACATAGGTATCTATTGTTTGCCAATATTAATTGTTAAAAACCAGAAGGAAACTCAACCGTTCCTTACTATCTGTAAAATCAAGTTTTTGAAACAATACTAGTAATCAACTATTGGATATCTTTCAACTGAATTTCAGGTTGCTGCTGCATTGGACTCATCATTTCCAGAGAAGTATGCCATGTCGGCGGAGGTCAGGGATTTACAATTGTAATTTTTAGTATTAATGTATAAAATAAATGTAATAATTAATAATTATTTAGAATTTCAATTTATTTATCTCAAGATAAATTAATGGGAGAACGTAAAAAATATTCAAAAAAATAAGATGGGCACCGGCAGTTGGAATAGCGATGTGGTTATATAGTTCATAATAATATTAAAAGACAGACTCAGGGGTTCGTAATAATAGTTTTAATGAATAGTTGAACTCCTAAAACTGAGAACTCTAAAAACCTTGGTATTTATATATCACTTATCAAGGAAATATTTTATTTCATTCCTTCTTTATGTATCACATTTAAAGGGTCAATTTCATTCCCATTCTTGGAGTTAAATTCATATTTCTGTTTAGTAGTTTAATAAGAATAACAAAGAGCAAAAAGTTTTTGCTTGAAAGAAAAATTCTATACTTGTTGCCGACTGGAGACAGAAGAGTCTAATAGTAGCCTGGCTCAAGAATTAAACATAAATTATACAACTTAAAAAAATTGCAAATCTACTTGAGGACATGCTGAATCATTTAAATCCAAAAACAATGACTATCTATCTACTCATGACAAATTCGGTTCTTCTAAATATTCCACTATTAGACTAGGAGATACCGACCATTTCATTTAAAGGAAGGACTGATAGCTAGTAACCATTTTAAATTCTAGATAAACCTCATATGAAAACACAACTTCGGTCAGTCGGTTGAAAGCCATTGCTTTTTAAGGGAAAATTTAAATCAAAGAGACGAAATTGGACTGTTCATTTAACGGAAGAACATATGTCTGAAATTTTGATATGATGTTAAGAATATGTACCTAACCCTATGTTTTGAAAACTGAAGCATTAAAGTCATCAAATTAGACCAGTCAGATGAGGAAAAAATTCAAATAGTCGGTTTCTCTTTGGTTTTTTATATTTTTTGGGATGCTGAATCTGAATCTGATGTCCCTGAACGAAATTTCCCATTCCTCTCCAAGATATATGCAAAAAAAAAGCAAAATTTTTTGGATCGACCCATTCGACAACATACATTTATTTCATGCCATTCATTGTCAAATATCAATGCTAAATGATAATGTATTTATATAATAAGCAGGTACTTTATATTGTCAGATTCAGCTTTCTGTTTTCTCAACAGAAATACAAAGCTTATTTTAATAAAGAATTTAATATATTTTTATTTTTTAATTCTTCATTGTTAGCTTAAAAGTGTATACTGATCTATCAGTGCAAATAGCTTTATGTGTCTTTTCATAGTGTCAATTGTTTTGTATATAGTTTCGTTTGTTTTACATATAGAATGTTTACCTTATATTTTCTTTACATTATTTCTTTTTTTGATTGATTTTATTTTGGCCAGATGTAATCTTTTAATTTTGTACTATTTTGTTATTCTTAAGGGACTGTGACCCAGAATAAAGTTATTTCTATATATATAAAAAAATAAAATAATTTCAAAACTTTTTTTAGTTTTTTGCACATGATTCCATACCATGATGCATTTTATCGAAAGTATTATTATATACAAAGTTAAAGAATTTTATAGATAGCTTATTGATGTAGGTCTAATGGGTGATGAGTTACATATTACGACTCTATATAACTTGAAAGTGCATCAACATTTTTATTGGGCTAGGGTATAATCATTAAAATACAAAAGTTGAAATGCCATTAGAGCGCTCGGACTTTGAAGCACATTTCGGTTCTCAAGTTTTTGATTATTATGAATCTTGATGTCTCTCATACTAACAGAATATATAAAAAATAAGTAATTTGTTTATATTGAATATTTAATAGTTGACTGTTGCATTATAAAGGAAGGAGATGGTCCGGGGTAATTACAGAAAACAGTATCCACTGTTGATACTGTAATTTTCTAGGTTTTTTCCCATTACCCAAACAAATCAGCAAATTCCCCAAATACCTGCCCTTACCCTGGTTTTCCAGTTCTAAGTGAAACTCAACTTCTAGCTGAACACACCTGTAACTCTCTAATTTTATTTACTTATTTATTTAATTTTTTGGTTTTCTTTTCTTTCTCCACATTCCTTTATGTCTATTATTTCATATTATATCCTTTTTCCTTTTCTTTCAATCTCTCCTGTACTGTAGATCTGTAGAGGTATATTCACATTTGCATGTATTATATATTACACTAAAACAATTGTTACCATCTATTTACTTCAGTTTAGGATCTTATTACTTAGCTTACTCTGTTTATATTTTAATATACTTACTGTTTATAATTTTAATAAGCTTATTCACATTGTTTATAATTTTTTGTCTAAATATTATCTAACTTCCACAATTCTCTATCTTTTTGTATCTTGTCCGTTCTAGCCCTGAAGACATGTAAAGTCAGGTCAAAACGTTGGCTTTTAATAAAATAGTTTTACCACTATTTAGCCTATTTATGACCGCCATCCTGGACCATCTCCTTCCTTTAATTTGTTTATACATTCTAGTATTGTTATAAATAAAGTTATTTGAATCAAAATCCCTGAAAAGATAAAAAGCGCTTAAGTTGAGAGTGGCAGATTCTGTGAGTGAAAGACACCTTCGATTCGATAACCTTTAACAGCCGCTTAAGCTTCTCACATATTAACATATCTACATGAGGTATACAGGAAATTTAATGCTCTTTTAAATTGATTGTATTGAATTTCTACAATAGAGCCATATATTATGAGTTTTGGGGAAAAAACGACGAAAAGAGATTTTTCTTGTGAAATAAACAGTCAACATTCTCGAACTCCTCACCCGAGTTCATAGGACATAGTTGGCCCTATATCTACTATATAAAAATTGATAGTAAAATTTTATCTTCTTTGATGTTGTGTATAATAATAATTTCAATAAAATGGGTAGTTTCGGAGTCATGTCCAAAAGACTAAAAAAATTAGGAAATGTTGCTGTTTTTTGCATATATCTCAGAACACAATGAAAAAATATAAAAAAGAGAAACCGACTATTTGAATTTATTCCTCATCTAACTACCATCAGACTGGCCTAATTTGATGACTTTGAGTTGTTAGTCAAGGTGAATTCTTTTAGCGACATATTCTTGACATTATATTAAAATTCCAGCCGTCAGTTCTTCCGTTAAATGAACCGTCAAATTTTGCTTCTTTAATTTAGATTTTCGTATAGAAAGATACGGCTTTCAACCGACTGACCGAAGTTATCTGTTCAGATGAGATTTATCTAGAATTTAAAATGGTTACTAGCTATAAGTCCTTCCGTTAATGAAACGGTCGGTAGCTCCTAGTCTATATCAGTGTTAAGTCAGATTTTACTCGAAGAGACTAACAAACACATAAAATCAATTCACGATCCTCTAGATGAATATTAAACTAGTATTTCGCAAGAATGGGTACAAAAATTCTGTTCCCAACATAATATTGTTTTTAAAACATTTAGCTGTGAAGCTGTCAGCGTTCTTCTTCAGTTAACCAACGAATGGTTTTCGAAGGTTTAGCCACTAGTTTTTCAGAATTATCATGACGCTGCCATATTCAACACGGTGAATCGCAACTTTTTAAGGAGTTGACGCCAGACCGGATAAAGCATTTTAAGGTTGACTATTGTTCTAATGGATGTTCGCCTAGAGACACAATTACCTTTAAGAAGTTCATTACCTTATATAAAAAATAAGTACGTCCTTAGATGTATATATTACGGATAGTAAATAGTATTGGTATGTTTTTATTTTTAAAAAAGCACTGTTTTAACTACATTTTGTTCATTGCCCTTGCTTAATTTCAATAAAACAGCCAGGGCCATTATTGACATTCACAGATGAATATAGTGACTGTCATATTATAATAATTATACATTTATAACAACAAAGTTTACCAGGTCCCTTAAAGTGGTTATAAACAACATCAATTCCAATTTGAAAAACATATTTACGAACTAAAAAAATTCCTCGACTTTTTCCATTTTTCCAGGTCAGTCGCCACTCTGTATTATCTGATCTGTATTATCTCTGTATTAGCATTGGATGTGGTGTTCACATATAATGAACTGGTCAGTACAAGTGATATATTGGACATAGTGAATACTGCCAATTACATACAAAATCAGTTATATAAGTGATTTTGATTATATGAAATATATAGTAAGGGAAACTGTTACTATCTTGAAAGTTTGAATGTAATTATTCATTAGATATACACATTGTAAAATGATCTAGTTCAAAAACAAAAAGTTGCAAGAAATTGAAATACGTATTAAATCAAGTTATGTATATTCTGGGATGTTAAAGCAACAGTTTTGCTAAAATCAACTCGCCAGAAGTACCAATTTATAGGGAGGGAGGGGGGAAGTGATGCTTACAATTACATTCTATTTGTTTGATTTTGTTAATAGGTATAAAACTCTTGGTTTCGCAATTGGAATTTATCATAATAGCTTATAATGAAAACATTGACTTTAAGGTGTTAAAAAGTAATCATACTTACACTACTTCCATAAGTGAATCCCCATGTTGATCACCAATTGCAGTACTACCTTTGTTCTGGTTAAGTCTTAAATATACAACACTAGGTAAGTTTAATTTGGACAGAGGAACAGTGTCAGACGTAGGCTCCTCAAGCCATCCTGTCAATTCTTGTTGACAAGGAGGTACACCTGTCTCAGAATAAATTATAGTTTTTAAGCAACCTAAAAAAAAAAGTTAAAGTAAAAAAATACTGAAAAAAATAACCTAAACTAGGTCTCTATAAATTCTTAACAAATTATTGATATATAAAAATTACGATTTTAAAAAAAATATATTTTTCAGTTTCTTAAAGTCTTAAAATGAGAAGAAGCAAATGTTAAAATATTTTAAAGGTCTGTTTATATTATAATACTAAACAACATGGGTGATAAATAATCAAGACGTAGTCATTATAAAGTTTTTATTAGTGCCGACATTTCAACCCAAACATGTCATCATCAGGGCGCGGTTCGACCCCTGATGATGACCCTCATGTTTGGGTTAAAACATTGGCACTAATAAAAACTTTTTATAATGACTGCGTCCTGAATATTCACCACCCATGATATGTAGAACAGTCGAATAACTTCCTTCAATACTAACCAACAGTTAAACTTTCGGGAACTTGAACTTTTATCTCATTATTTAGATAAAACACATGAATATGTAAACTAGGTTGATTTTTATGAGAATCTCCTGAGGTGGAAGGCATTTCAATAAAGTCAGAACTGATAGTAACAGGTACACCATTTGTTGCTAACTGAGTAGTATCTCCATGCCCAACTTGTAACATCCTGTCTTGGTCATTCATCTCTTGAGGTAAAGCACTCTTAATGGCACTCTAAAATACAAAAATTAAAACAGTTAAACTCTCAAAACTGTAAATGAAACTGTCTACAAGAGAGCAATTATTGGTACTTTTAAATATTTAAAATGTAACATAATAGTCAGTACAATGGCTTTAAACATTTACATTCCTATGGTATCTAATAGAGATGGGCAAAATTGTACTCTGAGTAAAAAGTACAATTACAGAGTAATTTACTCAAATACTCGCCCGGTTCGAGTATCGAGTACTTCAATCACTACTCGACCTCATGATTGACGAGTACAAAAAGTAATCAGCTGTCCTCGTGAGTACTTTCTATTTTCAAATCTACTCAGCAATATTTTACTCTGAGTACTTTTCAAAGTAATCGAGTATTTCATTATAAAAATTACAGGAGTAGAATATTTAATATTTCTTCCATGTTTAAGTCCATTATTATCTTATGGGGGTATAGTTTTTTAAAATAGTATCGATATTAATGTAAATTGAAAAAATAAAGAATTATTAAAATAATTTGGATTTAATCAACTTTGTTGACCATTTTTTTTTTTTTTTTACACCACTTGACTTTTATAATAATGCTGTCGGATTTGAGATAGTGCCCCCGGGCCCCGACTTTTTTTAAGTTTTTGTGTTAAATCGATATCAGGGTCGATTAGTATGTTTCGGGGGGCGCTTTTTATGAAAATGGTATCGAATTTGAGATTGGGCCCCCCGGACCTCGACTTTTTTTATCTTTTTGGATAAAATCGATATCAGGGTCGACTATTAGGTTTTGGGGGACGCTTTTTATGAAAATGATATCGAATTCGGGATTGGGCCACCCGGGCCCCGATTTTTTTTTACTTTTTAGATTAAATCGATATCAGGGTCGACTATTAGGTTTTGGGGGATGCTTTTTATGAAAATGATATCGAATTTGGGATTGGGCCCCCCGGGCCCCGACTTTTTTTAACTTTTTGGATTAAATCGATATCAGGGTCGACTATTAGGTTTTGGGGGATGCTTTTTATGAAAATGATATCGAATTTGGGATTGGGCCCCCCGGGCTCCGACTTTTTTTAACTTTTTAGATTAAATAGATATCAGGGTCGACTATTAGGTTTTGGGGGACGCTTTTTATGAAAATGATATCGAATTTGGGATTGGGCCCCCCGGGCCCCAACTTTTTTTATCTTTTTGGATTAAATCGATATCAGGGTCGATTAGTATGTTTCGTGGGATGCTTTTTATGAAAATGATATCGAATTTGAGATTGGGCCCCCCGGGCCTCGACTTTTTTTAACTTTTTGAATTAAATCGATATCAGGGTCGACTATTATGTTTTGGGGGGCGCTTTTTATGAAAATGATATCAGATTACGAATCACTTTCATAAATTTTGAGATAGTGCCCCCGGCGCCCGACTTTTTGTAACCTTTCGGTTTTAATCGATATCAATGTAGATTATGAGGTTTTGGGGGACACTTTTTATGAAGATGATGTCGGATTTTTTTTTTATAAAATCCGTCCCCTAAAACATAATAGACGGCCCTGATATCGACTAATTCCAAAAAGTTAAAAAAAGTCGGGGCCCGGGGGGCCCAATCTCAAATTCGATATCATTTTCATAAAAAGCGTGCCCCAAAACCTAATAGTCGACCCTGATATCGATTTAATTCAAATAGTTAAAAAAAAGTCGGGGCCCGGGGGGCCCAATCTCGAATTCGATATCATTTTCATAAAAAGCGCCCCCCAAAACCTAATAGTCGACCCTGATATCGATTTAATCCAAAAAGTTAAAAAAAGTCGGGGCCCGGGGGGCCCAATCTCGAATTCGATATCATTTTCATAAAAAGCGCCCCCCAAAACATAATAGTCGACCCTGATATCGATTTAATTCAAAAAGTTAAAAAAAGTCGGGGCCCGGGGGGCCCAATCTCGAATTCGATATCATTTTCATAAAAAGCGTCCCCCAAAACCTAATAGTCGACCCTGATATCGATTTAATTCAAAAAGTTAAAAAAAGTCGGGGCCCGGGGGGCCCAATCTCGAATTCGATATCATTTTCATAAAAAGCGCCCCCCAAAACCTAATAGTCGACCCTGATATCGATTTAATCCAAAAAGTTAAAAAAAGTCGGGGCCCGGGGGGCCCAATCTCGAATTCGATATCATTTTCATAAAAAGCGCCCCCAAAACATAATAGTCGACCCTGATATCGATTTAATTCAAAAAGTTAAAAAAAGTCGGGGCCCGGGGGGCCCAATCTCCAATTCGATATCATTTTCATAAAAAGCGCCCCCAAAACATAATAGTCGACCCTGATATCGATTTAATTCAAAAAGTTAAAAAAAGTCGGGGCCCGGGGGGCCCAATCTCAAATTCGATATCATTTTCATAAAAAGCGCCCCCAAAACCTAATAGTCGACCCTGATATCGATTTAATCCAAAAAGTTAAAAAAAGTCGGGGCCCGGGGGGCCCAATCTCGAATTCGATATCATTTTCATAAAAAGCGCCCCCCAAAACCTAATAGTCGACCCTGATATCGATTTAATTCAAAAAGTTAAAAAAAGTCGGGGCCCGGGGGGCCCAATCTCAAATTCGATATCATTTTCATAAAAAGCGCCCCCAAAACCTAATAGTCGACCCTGATATCGATTTAATCCAAAAAGTTAAAAAAAGTCGGGGCCCGGGGGCCCAATCTCGAATTCGATATCATTTTCATAAAAAGCGCCCCCCAAAACCTAATAGTCGACCCTGATATCGATTTAATTCAAAAAGTTAAAAAAAGTCGGGGCCCGGGGGGCCCAATCTCAAATTCGATATCATTTTCATAAAAAGCGTCCCCCAAAACCTAATAGTCGACCCTGATATCGATTTAATTCAAAAAGTTAAAAAAAGTCGGGGCCCGGGGGCCCAATCTCGAATTCGATATCATTTTCATAAAAAGCGCCCCCCAAAACCTAATAGTCGACCCTGATATCGATTTAATCCAAAAAGTTAAAAAAAGTCGGGGCCCGGGGGGCCCAATCTCGAATTCGATATCATTTTCATAAAAAGCGCCCCCCAAAACATAATAGTCGACCCTGATATCGATTTAATTCAAAAAGTTAAAAAAAGTCGGGCCCGGGGGGCCCAATCTCGAATTCGATATCATTTTCATAAAAAGCGCCCCCAAAACATAATAGTCGACCCTGATATCGATTTAATCGAAAAAGTTATGAAAATTCGATGCCCGGGGGCACTATCTAAAATCCGACAGTATATTTTTATAAAAAAGGCCCCCCAAAACATGATGGTTAGTCTAATATCGATTAATGGGGCTCGGGGTTGGTCAGGTCGAATATGGCTGCTATTATTGAAGGAAATAAAAGAAAACATTTTTACTCTTTATAATAATGACGGAGTAGTTGAAAAATAAAAAGTACTCTTTGTAGGAATTCGGCTGAGTACTTTCTGTAATTCGATATAACAGCGCGAGTATTTTCTGTACTTAACTAAATCATGATTGACGCAGCGTGAGTACTCTCAGTACTCGCCGCTGGCAGGCCGAGTACAGAAACTACTCGATACTTTTTCCTAATAAAATTACTCAAATCATGAAAGTAATCGAGTACTGCCCATCTCTAGTATCTAAATATCCAAGACCACAAGTTTCCAACTACTTTGAGACTACTATATATTTATTTGCTTAAAAATATTTTAAATATTCAATAAAACAAACGTTTATTTTTTTAAAAATCATGAGATGCCAAAAAAAGTTAAAGAACAATGTTATTATTATTATTTGAGTTCAATAAACAGAATAATATATCTTAATAACATAGCATCAAATATTTACCAAAGTACATTTACTAGTTTGTTACAGAAGTCCTTGCGCATGAACACAAACCTTAATTCCAACTCATAATTAATCCTATTAGTCCGCGATCTACTGAAGATTTAACCACGTGATCAGGGGCAGAAGGTTTGAAAATTGAAAACAGCAGAGATGACAACCTTAATGTCAAAAACGCTTGAGTCGGACAGCTAACTGGAAGAGTTTGGCTAAGGTAGAATTCCAAAAAATCCAAAAACTGCCAAAAATTATGTGATCAGCAGCAGGAAAAAAAACCTACTGGAATAGTTTCAAACAACTCAGTAGATGACAGATTCAATAAAGCCAGAAAAATTTTGGAAGCTTTATAACAATCTGACGGCTTTAAAAATCTCAAAAAGTGGCAAAAATTACGTGATCAGCAGCAGGCAAAAAACCAATTGGAATAGTTTCAGAATACAGTAATTTTATTATTGTTATTTTATAAAATCAGAATAAATTTTGGAAGCTTTTCACAAATATGACATACAAATTTGAAAAATGCACCATCAGCAGCAGGCAAAAAACGGTTGGAATAGTTTTAGACCACTTTGTATTACTAATGGGATAAAATCTGATAACAATGTGGAAATTTTTCACGAATCTGAGCCAATATTTCCAGCGGTGACATCATGAGTGTTCACTCTTAGAAGTTCCGCCATGAGTAAATTTTAAAATTACTCATGAAATATTTTTCCTCCATGATTAAATCACTCAAGAAAAATTTTAACGCCATGAGTAATTTAAAAAAAAAAATGTATTTATTTTATATAATCCAATAAGTTTTTTGAGGTTTTTTATATCCTTTCGGATTTAATCGATATTGGGGTCGACTATTGTGTTTTGGGGCCCCTTTTAAACTGATTTAATCGATATCAGGATCGGCTATTATGTTACGGGGAGCGCTTTTTGTGAAAATTATGTCGAATTTGAGATTGCGCCTCCGGGCATGGACCTTTTGTAACTTTTCGGATTTAAGCGATATCATGATCGACTACTTTCTTTTGGGAGGCAATTTTTATGAAAATACTGTCGATTTGAGATAGCGCCCTCCCGGACCTCAACTTTTTGTAACTTTTCGGATTAAATTGATACCAGGGTCAACTATTATGTTTTGGGGACACTTTTAATGAAACTGCTGTTGGATTTGAGATTGCGCCCCCCCTCCCCCCGTG